AAAAAAAAAAAAAAGAGGGTGGGGATACAAGGTCAAGTAAGGTAACTTAACCCCTGGGGCTGTAGGAACACACGCCCATGCATGGAGACATTTTTGTCGACATTTTATGACTTTCAAGATCAGGAGCACCGTTTATGGCCATTTTGATGAGGCCAGATCACAGGCCAGCCTCACCAATCAGGAAAGGAAAATGCTGGTCACATGACATGGCGGCCTCCCACAAATGTTATTATTGAGAAATGATTTTTATTCCCTTCCATTTTGATTTATTTCTAGTTTTTATTTTGAATTAGTTTCTTCTTTAATCAATTAACTATTCTTCTAGTTAGTTCCTCCCTTTGCTGGTTTTCACTTTTACTTCTTCTTTATGAAATATTTTGTTGAGAATGTTTTGTAGTGTAGGCTTTCAAATTGTGAATTCTTTTAACTTTTATTTATCATGGAAGGTTTTTATTTCATTGTCAATTCTGAAGCTTAATTTTGCTGGGTAGAGTATTCTCAGCTGGCATCCATTTTCTTTCAGAGCTTGGTATATATTATTCCAAAACCTTGCTCTGAGGGTCTGAGTTGAGAGATCAGCTGATATCTGAATTGGTTTCCCTCTAAACATTACCTGCTGTTTTTCTCTGGCTGCCTTTAAAATTCTATCCTTATTCTATATGTTAGGCATTTTCATAATAATGTGCCTTGGTGTGGGTCTGTTGTAATTTTGTATATTTGGGGTCCTGTAAGCTTTTGTGTTTGATTTTCTGTTTCATTCTTTAGTTTGGGAAATTTTCTGATATTATTTCATTGAAAAGATTGTACATTTCTTTGGTTTGTACTCTGAGCCTTCATCTGTCCTGATAAATCTTAAATTTAGTCTTTTCAGGTTAGCCCAAGTTTTCTTCAAGGTCTCTTAACATCTTTCTCCATGGTTAACTTTGTTTTCAAGATTATATATTTTGTCTTCATTCTTGAAACACTGTCTTCCAAGTGGTGTAGTCTGATGGTGATATTTTCCAATGAATTCTTTGATTTTTCTTCATTTTGAGGATTTCTTCTTGATTTTTTTTTAGAATCTCTCTTTATTGAAGTGATCTTTCACTTCCTGTGTTTTGTCTCTGACATCAGTCCTCACATCGTCCTTTACCTCACAGATTAGTTTAATTACATACATTCTAAATTTCTTCCCTGACATTTCTTCCACCATGGTATCATTAGATTCTGTTATTGAAGTACCTTGGTTTGTTTGGGGCAATTTGTTCTCTTGCTCTGTCATGTTGTTTGTGTATCTACCCATCCAGCAGAGTGGATCTGAGGTAGTAGAATTTCTGCCCTTTGGATTTGTAGTGTCCCTGAAGGTTTCCAGTACCTTACTGTTTAGGGGAAGACAAATAATAACCACCAATGCAAACAGTATACAGCATTAAACCAAATAGTTCCTACTATGATGGCTACAGTGTTAATTATCACAGGGAACAGAATTGATGTGATCAATTATTGCCTGCAATAAAAACAGCAAGTTTGGAAAAGGGTTTACAATTTCAAATGGTGAACAGGGGAGAACAGAAGTGGGATAGAGGATATGATGATTATGAGGGAAGAGGAGACAAGGTAGAGTGAAAAATTAAAGGAAGAGTGAAAGAACAATATAGATTGGGGCTGGGGATGTGGCTCAAGTGGTAGCGCGCTTGCCTGGCATGCATGCGGCCCAGGTTCGACCCTCAGCACCACATACAAAGAAAGATGTTGTGTCCGCCGAAAACTAAAAAATAAATATTAAAAAAATTCTCTCTCTCTCTCTCTAAAAAAAAGAGATTGACTGCTAGCAGAAGAAAAGAGAAAGCGTCAAGGGAAACAGAAAAGTGAAAACGTGTAATTAAAGTAGAATTAAAGGGGCTGGGATTGTGGCTCAGCGGGGTAGAGTGCTCGCCTAGCACATGCAAGGCCCTAGGTTCAATCCTCAGCACCACATAAAAACAAAGATATTGTGTACAGTTACAACTAAAAAATAAATATTAAAAAAATAAAGTAGAATTAAAACTAAAATATACTAATCAAACATCTTAGTCCTTAAAAAAAACTGATCCATGAAAAATGACTGGCTTTAGAAATGGTAGAAATGAAAAAAAATTTTCCATGTACCATTAAGGTCACAATTAAACAGGGAAAGGAAAAGAGAAAAAAAATTTCTATGAAAAGATAAAGATTTCTTTTCATTGGAGTTCAAAGGATTCTCAGCTTCTCAGCAGTTTTAGGTGGGGGTCCTCTGTAATGTGATGCTATACCCTCGGAATTGCTGGAGTGAGAACAGTAATCCTGTAGGCGGAATTCCTAGAAGCAGGGTGTAGGCTTAGGTGGGCTCCAGGCTCTTCAATGAATGCCAGTTGGTCTGGAGATTTTAAATCAGCACACCTCCAGGGCCTAGTAATTGCCAGTTTATACTGGAAGACTATACCTCAGGGATCTTCCCTGGGTTCCACTTTTGTGGTGGGGGAGCCAATTCTTAATCCCCTATGTCACCTGCAGCCCCTTCGTTTCCTAGTCTTGGGTTCAGTCTCCAAACTCAATCTGTCCCGCCCTATCCTTCTGAATTCCTGGCCAGATGCATTTTTCGCAGCAGGTCCTGCAAGCAAGCAGCAGGTCCTGCAAGTAGCAGGTTAGAGAGGGAGGAGGGGTAGAGCAAGGTGGGTTTCCACAATCATGAACTCAGGCATTCTGATGCCAAGTTCTATTTGGTGCATTTAATTCTGAAATAGGTAAAGTCATATTTTAAAATATTTGCCTTTTCAAAGGGTATGAAAAATGGTCCAAAGATTGAAAATTGACCCAAACATTGAAAAGTTCATTTTTTTTTCTTGTAGAGAAATATAAAGGAAGCTACCCTGAGATATCAATTCATATGTATCATATTGGCAAAAATTCAGAAGCCTAACCACACATTTTGTTGGCAATGCCATGAGCAAAGTGGAATGCTTATACATTCTACATTGAGAATGTAGAACTGTTTCAGTTTCTGTGGAGGGGAATTTAGCAGTATCTAACAAAACTAATTTAGCCAGCAGTCCCACCTCCACAAAAATTAAACACCACTCATAGGAGACTATTTGAATAAAATATTATATCATTACCTAATGAAGCTTCTATTTTATTCTCTTCTGCCACACTCTCATAATCCTGCCCCCCCCCAACTTATTAGAGGGAATATACTACACTAGAAATTGTGGTCTTAGGAATCAAATCTAGATTTAATTCATAATAATGCTGCTTTGGTCATAACATTCATATCTAGCTTAGATCGGATTAGTCAAAGGTATCTCTCTTCCTTTTTGATCTTGAGGAAAAATTATTTGAATTTTATAAGTACCTCTTATCTATAAAAATGAAGATAACTATTTGTGAAAACGACATATAATAATTAAATTGCCTGCACTGTATAGATATTATTGGCTCTCTTTTTAGAAGCTCTACTTCTTCCTCCTCCACAGTACTTCTTTTCAAGTATTGTATTTAGTTGAGTTGCTAATACTCCCTAACCTTGTCTTCTTTGCTCCACAGGGCTCAGAATGGAACGCCTCCAACTTAGAGGACTTACAAAACCGAGGGTAAGCACACAAAGCAATTGCTTTCTCTCCTTTGTGACAAAAGCCCCTATTTAGTCTTTATGTTATCATAGTATCAGTGGTTGATTTTAATCTTAAGAGTTATTTCCTACTGATTCTAATCAAGTGTAATCTAATAAAAGTTAAAAGTGGCTATTTTCCACCTGTTCCTGTTTCATTCCAAGACAGATCAGCCATTTTAATGGAAGACTTTTAAGAATAAATATGTAAGTCTTTGGTGCTCTTTAAAATCAAATGTAGGGCTGGGGATATAGCTCGTTGGTAGAGTGCTTGCCTTGCATGCACAGGGCCCTGGGTTTGATCCCTAGTACCCCCCCTAAAAAAAATCAAATGTAGTTTTTAGTTCCTGGGGGTTTTGTTTGTTTTATTTTTTGTTTAGGGGAGGTGGTAGTTGGTTGGTTTTGGGGGGCAGGTGATACCAGAGATTGAACCCAGGGGCACTTAACCACTGAACTACATGTCCAGCCCTTAGGGAGACCCTCCAGCTCAGGGTCTCCCTAAGTTGCTAAGGCTGGCTTTGAACTTAGAGATCCTCCTGCTTCAGCCTTCCTAGCTGCTGGGATTCCTGATGTGTGATACCACACTCAGCTTGGTTTCTGTTTTTATGTAAGAGGACATAGATTGCATATTTGGGGTTCATAGAGCTGTTCATTCATATTTATTGGTATTTTTTGTGGGTCAAGCACTGTACTTGATGTTAGGAATCCACAGACTCAAATAAGACTCAGACCCTTTTATCCTTTCCTAACTGTTTGAAAAATAAGTAGGTTATGAATGTAAAATAGGCAAGCTTCTGAAATTGAATAAGAAAACTTGTATTAATAAAAGTGTCCCTGAGCAGCATGGTTATTAAGTTTGATTGTAGTAATTGAGACTGCAGTGACAATTCAGCAAGCAAAAGCTGCCATTTTTCCCTTTTTACTTCTTAGCTAATGCCTACTAAATTTCTTATTGAACCTCACTTTAAAAGAACAGATTATCCCATTAAGAGAAAATTGAGCTGGAGATGGAGTGTTTGCACAGGACATGGGTTCAATCTCTAGCAAAACTGTTTAGGGTTGGGGGGGCCTTCACTGTGGACAGAGATAAGACCAACAGAGACTTAAAGGTAGTGATGACTTGCTGGCTGCTTGTTTTCTCGACTACCAGGCAGCCTTCTGATTATATTTAACATTATTATATACATACTCCCTATTTTCCCCCTCCAGAATAAAGGTACTTTATAATTGTTAAAATGAACTTGGAATGGGGCTTGCGTGAGATGGTTATACAAAAAATTCCAGAGAGGAAAATCTGGTTGCTTAGTTTAAGATTTGAAAATAAATAGAACTTGGAACTCTTAATTTGATAAAGACTGGGTCTGAAGTTTTATATATTTTATTTTATTTTATTTTATTTTATTTTATTTTATTTTTGGTACCAAGGATTGAACTCAGGCATCTGATCACTGAGCCACATCCCCAGCCCTATTTTGTATTTTATTTAGAGACAGTGTCTCACTGAGTTGCTTAGCAACTCACCATTGCTGAGGCTGACTTTGAACTAGTGATCTTTTTGCCTCAACCTCCCGAATCGATGGGATTAAAGGCGAGAGCCACTGTGCCCAGTGAGCCTGAAGTTTTTAAAGACAGAGGTTATATCCTGGTCTTATGAATTGATGTCTAACTCAGATCTTTATACCAAGGGTGTACTCGGTAAATATGAATGAATAATAGAGAAATTCACACATATATATAAGAATTGTGACTTGCCTAATGGTAAATAAGGAGAGGAAATCAATTAGTACCTGGCTGGGAATTCCAAAATCTAACTTCTAATCCTATGTCTGCTGTTTGCCCTTTTTGAGCCTGGAAAGCATAAGCCTACATAATTGTTTACTGCTTAGGATTCTTGAGTGTGGGGGCCACTTATAAAATAATAACATTAAATCTGCTTTATGCACAAGGTCTGTGCACTTTGACTTTAGAACAATCCTAGCAGGTGATAAGACCCATCCTTCTCATATTTTTTGAATTTTTAATTTTTTAAAACTGATACGTATAAATGGTACATATTAATGGGGTACCGCATGATGTTTCAATACATGAATCCATTGTATAATGCTTTAATTAGGTTAAATGTATTTATCGCCTCATAAATTTATCTTTTCTTTATGGTAGAAACATTCAAAATCCTTTTCTTTTTTTAGCCTTTTGAAATGTACAGTATGGTATTGTTTTCTGTAGTCACCACCCTAGTATGTCATTTACTTCTTATAAGGCTTAATTATAAAATGCAACATCTCATTGTGTAAAAGACAGAATGGTTAGATGTTCAGACACCTGTTTAGATATCATTTCTTAAATTCAGTGTTTTGTTTTTTTATTTTGTTTTTGTTTTGTGATACTGGGTATTGAACCCAGGAGTGGCTTTACCACTAACCTACATCCATAGCTGCTCCCCACCCTTTTTTTAGGCAGGGTCTCACTAGTTGCTAAGGCTCTTGCAGTTATCCTCAAATTTTCCATCCTCAGGAGAAATTACCACCATGTGCCATGGCACCCAGGAAACTCAGTGTTTCTTAAATTTTAGTATATGAAGAATTATAGTTCAATGGTCTATACACAATCATGTGTTCTGCCCCTTGTGGATGATTTGTGGGATTTTCAAGTGTAATTTTGGCAATAAAGCCATTTCCACACAACCTATTGACTTTAGAACCTAACCCCAAGTAAAGTGCTGCTCCATATGGAGTCACTTACTGCTGAGATGGCAAAAAAATTTCAGAGTGCCAGTACAAATTGGCAGGGGCTGTTTGAAACTAGGTAATGAAAAGAATTGAAAATCCCTTTCTGGCCAGCCAAGTAGGTAATGTCATGATCCATTACTGAGGTATGGGATCGGATGTGGGAGATTGTTTGTTTTTATTTTAAGAAAATAAGAGAAGTACACTTGCCTTTTTTTTTTTAAGTTTTATTTAAGTATAACTCATATACCATACAATTCACCCATTCACCAATTTAGAGACAGAGTTTCACTGAGTTGCAACTTCCTCGCTAAGTTGCTGAGGCTGGCTTTGAATTCTTAACTCAGCCTCCCAAGTTGCTGGAATTACAGGTGTGCACCACCATGCCTGGCAATTTAGAACATTTTTTTTCAACCCAGAAGACAGCTATAGCCTTTATTGGTCACTTCCATTTTCCTTCTTCCCCCATCCCTGGAAACTGCTAATGTCTGTCACAGACAGTTACTTTTTATCTATCACAAATGAAGCTGCTATGATCATAGTGTCTAACTTTTGGGATGGACATGTTTCCCATTTCTCTTGGGTTGCACCTAGGAGAGGAATTCCTGGGTCATGTGGTAACTGTGTTCAGCTTTTTGAGGAACTGCTAGACTATTTTCTACAGTAGTCATACAATTTTATGTTCCTACCATGTGCTTGACTTTCAAATTTTAAAAAATCCCTTCTAGTAAGAGGTTTTGATACTAAGTTAAAACAGATTGAATTCATGTCTCAGAAAAATTTTAGCTACTTGGCCTTAACCATAGAGTTGGTTAGCTGTGGCTTTCTTTCTGTAGTCATTTCTTTGACTTCAGACACTGGGTTTGTAGAACCCCACATATGGTTCTCAGAAGAAAGCAGCTTCTACGTAGAGAAGTGAGTTAATCTGTATTCTGTTGTTGGAGTAAACTAGTGATGTTCAAGTCCACACAGCACTGAGGAAAAACAACCTCTGGTAAACTCAACCCTAATATCTGTTGAGATGGTACAGTCAGAGAAGAAATAGAAGAAGTTTTTTTTATAGAGAAACCCTTTTCTGCAAGCATTGTCTGCATGGGAGAATCCTCAGACACATCTGCTGCCATAGCAACCAGGAATGCTGCCAGATAAAGTTAAAGGAGTTTCAAGTCCAACTTTCCTCTGACCCTCCCAGGCCTGACCTCATTTGCCTTTCATGTAGTTTAAGAGAGTAATAGTGCAAACCTAACAATTTGGCATTTAGAAAAATAGGACAATGGTGCTATTAACAATTAAACTTGTCAATTATAATAACTTAAAAATATTATCTATGCTATTAAAAATAGCAAAAAAATGCTGTTATATCTGGAATAAACATACTTGATATTCAGGTAAAAAATCCTTTTCTCTTTTTTTAAATTCAGGTACATGTTAATAGTCTGATTTTATACAGATAACTTCTAACAAAAATTGATATTGGTAATGTTACAGAAAGAGAAGCTGTTAGGTTATTGATCTTACATTGATTCTTTGGAGTAAGATACAGGCCTGTGTTTTTTTAAGAGATTATCAAAGATGAGGTTGTGTGATTACACATAAACTGAAAATGGAATTTAGATGTTGACATGGAAGATAGTTTTTTACTCAGTGACACCCTCATGCCCAGGTGTGCCCTGTGAAACAGCTTCTCTACTTTTAGTTTTTTTTAGCTTTTTATCATTATTTTTGTATTTAATTTCTGTCAATTGCGTAAACAAGTTTTGAATAAGAAAAACAGTGCTGAGGGCTGGGAATGTGGCTCAGGCGGTCGTCTGGCATGTGTACGGCACGGGTTCGATCCTAAGCACCACATACCAACAAAGATGTTGTGTCCGCTGAGAACTAAAAAATAAATATTAAAAATTCTCTCTCTGTCTCTCCTCTCTCACTCTCTCTTAAAAAAAAGAAAAACAGTGCTGAGAGTTAGGGATGTAACTCAGTGATAAGAGTGCTTGCCACCTTCAGCAAGGCCCTGGGTTCAATCCCAAGCACTGTGGGAAAAGAAAAATAGTGTTGAGAATTGGATTTAACCTGAATAATAGAATATATATTCTTCCTTGGTTTCCTGACAGGGTACGTTATATCTTGAATGTCACTCGAGAGATAGATAACTTCTTCCCAGGAGTCTTTGAGTATCATAACATCCGGGTATATGATGAAGAAGCAACAGATCTCCTGGCTTACTGGAATGACACTTATAAATTCATCTCTAAAGCAAAGTAAGTAAATAGCCCTGCATGGTCTGACCACAGTTCCTCATGATACACCACACATGGCTGGGGCCAAAGGCTATAGATAATTTACTGATGATATTTAGGAAAAAGGTTGTAAAGAGAAAAGATTTTGTAATCCTAGGCAAAAGACTAATGACTTAATACTTTTCCTTTAAGTAAATGAATCCCCCCAGAAGTGACCTCATATTGACCTCATGTTTTCCATTGAGCACAAAATTAAAGAAAGTAGCGTAATGCTTCAACTAAAGAAATAGAAATTAGATGTACAAGAAATCTGAATGAAATTCTTAAAGTTTCCACATGGATGAATTTGTAAGTTAGAGAACAGAAATTATTCTGAATAGCTGGAATACCAGTTCCTCCTCTCTGAAGGCAAGGAAAGAACAGTGAACTTAAGAAATCTTTTCCTGATCTTTTTTTTTTAACATTTTTTTAATTGTTGATGAACATTTATTTTATTCATTTATTCATATGCAGCGCTGAGAATCGAACCCAGTGCCTCACACATGCTAGGCAAGTGCTCTACCACTAGGCCACAACCCTAGCCCTGCCAATTGTTTACCTTATTTTTATCATATTTTTAATGGTAGAATTTTTCTCTGATCCTTCATGGATATCTTCCTTAAATTAAGTAGCTCTTTTCGTGAAATTATTTAGTATTTACTTAATGTTTAGTATTAGTTAGTCTTAACATTAACATGACATTTTTGAAGTCCCTGAGGATTTCCTTGCCATTTGTATTCATTCCTTCACTAGAAGAAACTATAAATGAGCTTGTTGGCACATCCTCCTGCAGTTAGGACTACATTCATACCATCCCTTTCAAATGAAAAATGCTTCTGTTCTTAAAGTCCTCCAAGAATGATTATACCCTTCTCTTAAGGAACCTCATAGTCAGTACATTCCTCCTCGTGGTTACCCTGAATTCTCATATTCTAGCTTTGAGCCTGTTCCTTTGGCCTCTAGCCATTTATTACCTGAAAGTGTTTTATATTCTTGAAGACTACTATTAAATTATTCCCAGTAAAAATACCATTTATGGTATACCTACTTTGTGCCAGTTACTTTATGTGCATTCTCTCATTTGATATTTTCTAAAATCCAGAGAGGCAGATACTGTCATCACCCGATATGAATGAGAATAGACCACACAAAGGAGATTCATAGAGTGATTCTCTTTTCATAACAAGTGATGGAGATGGGACTTGAACCAAGGTTGTGTCTATTTTGAAATCCATAAGTATACAGAAATAATCTAGTTCCATAAGGAAAGCAAACTAGAAAGACTAGGCAAGTTGTCAGGGTCACAGCTAAAGAGGCTAGAGTTCAAGGCATGGCCCCAATTGCAATGAAAATAGAGGCTGATGCCAGTTAGGGTGGGGGGACACATGAGGCACTCATGGCACAAATGGAGGCACCCCTACTCAGGCTTCTACAAGTGTGGGTCAGCATGTGAGAGGGGGTAATTAAGCCTCCTTAAATGCTGTGCCCTGGATGCCTCCTATATCTAATGTATCAGGACCCTGATTCCCAATATGAGGCCAGGCTTAACTGAACGATTGATTGATTCTTCATGCCAGGAGAAGGTAGCTCAAACTGAAGTGTGGAATAGGGTTAGGTGAGAACTGACTTATATCTTTCATTACATGAGTTAGAAGCTATCCTCTGAAATATCCTGTTGCAAATATGCTAAAAAGATATTTTCATAGAACTAGATTTCATAATTTGATTTTTTAAAAAAATATTTATTTTTTAGTTTTAAGTAGACACAGTCTTTATTTTTAAGTGGTGCTGAGGATTGAACTCAGTGCCTTATGCATGCTAGGCGAGCATTCTATACTAAACCACAACCCCAGCCCCTCATAATTTGACTTGGTTATCCAAGTTTGCGCTCCTTCCATGCCTACAGGCATAAACCTGAAAATTGATATTTCAGCATTGTCAGAACTCAGTGGGAAAATAAAGAGCACATGTCTAAACTTTCATCTGAGTCACTGTGCATTGGCTTTCTAACTGTAGTTTAAAGGAAAGTGCTAGTGTGTAGTAAGTAAAACAAATAATTCTTAGTCATTGGGATAATACGTAAGCACACAGAGTGACATTCATGCCATCCTTAAGACACCAAAATTTTGTACCTGATTGACAAAAGGCTAATCTTCTTTCTTTCTGCAACTGTTTCTGTTATTCCAAGACTATTCTCTACATTCTTGTAGATTATCTGGCTCACTTATTTCAGCACATCACCTCTTGCTTCATTATACTGATGACTTAATAATACGTCATGAGTCTCTTGTCTCCAGAAGCAGTGTTTTAAGCTTCTGGGAGGAAGCTAGTCTACCATCATCACACAGTGAATAAGTTACGGATTTTCCCTGATCCTAATATGTACATACTTTTGAATACTTTTGATTTTTTTTTTTTTTTTTTGGAATAGGCACTTGGGAAGGATTCTAGAACCCATGTGCACTAGCAATAAATGGTTCCTCACATGCTTCCACTCAACTCCCTGGATTGTATACCTGCCAATCTCTAATCATAACACATGTTGTGAAAAGTAATATTCAGAACTATGTCTTAATAGGGAAGAAGGTTGGGTTCATTAGGTTTGTGCTTTCCTCGAGGGACAGAACCCTTAATGAAACTTAAACTGAAAATAACTCAAAATATTTGAATAAATTAGATGAATCACATCTGTAAATCAAAAGAGTGTCAGTCATGAAATATGTTCCTGGGGCTGTGAGGGAACTAGCTTCCACCAAACACAGATTAGGATATAGTCTCTAAATTCAAAGTGCTTCCTCTATATTCTGTGACCATCATTGCACTGACCATATTAAATTTTAATTGTTTATTCCTTCTGCTGAATCCTATTCTTTGGGATAACAGCTTTGTGTGACATATGTCTACATCTTAGCACCTTGAACATTGTCTTACATATGGTAAATGTCTGGTAAATATTTGTTGAATGAATTAAAGAGACTTAATATTGGTAAATATTATTTACAATCACACTTAAGACCTGCTTACTTTA